AGGGCTCCGGGGTACAGTGATTGAGGCACAGTTTGAAGGGGTAAAAGGGGGGAATAGTGTTAAGATGCTTGGCTGTCTTTTGAATCTTGGATTACCTTGCCTACCATTGTAAAATAGACACTTAAGGTGGGGAGAAAGAAATAGCCAGAATCATCACTATAGAAAGCTTTTAAGTCCATCTTCAGCCTATAACTGTCTGGAGTACCTTAAAGGAGGCTAGAAGTTGCCCAGTGAAAGAGGCTTCCTGTGGAGCCTTTATACTGCACAAGACCATAGGTGGAATCCAGAACCCCATCCAGAACTGACTGAGGTAGGAAATTTTCACTGCAAAGGACAAGTAGACCAGCCTGGAGTGGCTAGAAGAACAGAAGATGCTTTGTTAAAGAAAGACCGGCAGGAAAATTCCGAAACAATAATGGCAGTCTGATTGATTACTATAAGAACAAGTAAGCTGTTTGCCCAAGAGTCATCAAAGCAAGTGGTCAGGACCCCTCAGAGCAAACTCCCTTCCAAGACTGAGACTCAAGGGGAATATATGAGCAGGATGTGGTCTGGCTGGTGACCACGATGATCACTGATAATGAAAGAGGGGAAAAAACAGCAATGAAGTTGCAAGCTGAGCCTGACCACATTCAATAGACCCCCATGAAACCGGGTGGAGACCTGGATGGCCAGCAGTATGGCAAGACCCAGGGACTCCTGGGCCCAGAGGCAGTGACATGGTCACAGAGGACTAGAGTTGAGTGTGAAGTGTCCAGTTGATATGACGTGAGGGGAGATGCACAAGAACACCCACACCTGCAGATAATACCCACTTGACCTGGCTTCGTTGGCTGGATGATCAGAACCTGACTAGAAGAAGAAACCACTGACCATGCAGTTCAAACAGCTTTGCAGTCTGACACATTGACCGACAGTGCCACACCAGGACTCCAGAAGAACAAAGAAAAGGGAAAATAGAGTAACCTGCTACAATTTAATGAACTTTACCTATACTTATGGACGTTTGTTGTTGTTGTTGTTATGTGCCATGGAGTCGGTAGTAGCTCAAAAAAGGGAACAAATCTTTACAGCAAGGATCACTCCCAATCCCTCGGTACACAGGGCTGACAGGGATGGGCAACATAGACACTGGCTACCCAAAATGGGCTGGGGGGGAGGTGGCGTATAAAGTCAAGAAGTGACTAGCTTACAAGCTTTCAAGAGGGAGCCTAGTTCCAGATGGGGTGGGGGAAGGTAGAATCACCATTGAATGATTTCCAATCTGTTGGGACCAGGCTGGGAATAGGAACTGGGGATGTAAGACTCTTGTGGTACAATGGTGAATAATTGCCATCAGGTCTGACTGTGAGGCTAGGAAATGTAGAGGTAGGTGTTTTTTGACAAAAGGAGAATGATTGATTTTGCCACCCAGGAGTGGAGGTCCCTGGGACCATCAAGTGATAAGAGTGGAGGGCAGGACCCTACCCAGAGAGGCAGTGACACCAGGGATGAAAACAGAGAAGATGATGTGGACAGATGGAGCTGCTGGGGACACTGGACCCAGGGCGGGAGAAGGGTTGTGTGCTGATGGCTGGGGGTGGGGGTGGGGGTGGGGTGTAGCGGGCGGGGGAGCTGGCCTGTGTGGTGTACCCTTTAGGGTTATATGATGATGTCTGGAGGGGATTGCAATCATTGCAATGAAGCGAAATACGATAGGATGAGTGTAAAGCTGATGTTCTCCCATGTAAACCTCACAATAAAAACTTAAAAAAAAAAAGTTACAAGAGTATATCACCAGGGAGCTGCCAGAAATTCAAGCCAGATTTCAAAGAGGATGAGGATCAAGGGATGTCATTGTTGATGTCAGATGGATCTTAGCTGAAAGCAGAGAATACTAGAAAGATGATTACTTGTATTCTGTTGACTACACAAAGGCATTCAACTTCGTGGGTCATGCAAACTATGAATAACTTTGCAAAGAATGGGAATTCCAAAACACTTAATTGTGTTCATGAGGAAACTACATAAACCAAGAGGCAGTCATTCAAGTAGAATAAGGGGTATAAAGTTAGAAAAGGTGTGCATCAGGGTTATATCCTTTCACATTACTTATTCAATCTGTATGCCGAACAAGTCATTCAAGGAGCTGGACTATATGAGAAGAACATGGTGTCAAGATTGGAGGAAGACTCATTAACAAAACCTGTGATATGCAGATGACACAACCTTGCTTACTGAAAGTGAGGAGGACTTGAAGCACTTGCTCATGAAAATCAAAGCATACAACCTTCAGTATGAAGTACAACTTAATATAAAGAAAACAGAAATGCTCACAATTGTATCAATAAACAACATCATGGTTAATGGAGAAAAGACTGAAGTTGTCAAGGATTTCATTTTACTTGGATCGACAATCAATACTCATAGAAGCAGCAGTCAAGAACTCTACAGACATATTGTATTGGACAAGGATATTGCAAGGGACTTCCTTAAAGTGTTAAAGAGCAAAGGTGTACTTTGAGGACTAAGATGTACTTGACCCAAACATGGTATTTTCAGTCACCTCATACGCATGTAAAAGCTGAACAATGAATAAGGAAGATAAATTGATGCATTCTGAAGAACTGATGTATTTCAATTATGGACTGCCAGAAAAACAAACAAATCTGTTTTGGAAGAAGTACAGCCAGAATGTTGTTAAGTGCCAGTGAGTTGGTTCTGACTCATAGTGACCCTGTATAGGGTTTCCAAGGAGCTACTGGTGAGCTTGAACTGCCACCTTGCAGTTCAAACCAACTTTGCATTTCAACGCATTAACCTGCAGCGCCACACCAGGACTTCAGTGCGCCTTAGAAATGAGGATGGTGAGCCTTCTGCTCACTTACTTTAGCCATGTAATCAGGAGGAAGCAGTCCCTTGAAAAGGACATCATGCTTGGTAGATTGGAGGGTCATCAAAAAAGTGAAGACTCCCAACAAGATGGACTGGACACAATGGCAGCAACAATGAGCTCCAATACAACAATTGTGAGGATGCTGGAGAACTGAGCAGTGTTTTGTTCTGTTTATATAGGGTCTCTAAGAGTTAAAACCAACCTGGTGTTACCTAAAAGAACACCACCACCAGGCCTAAAGTAAATGAGTAGAAGTCTCACTATTCTTGCTTCAAAGGAGCATTCTATGTTATACATAATGTTTCCACAGGCTGGTTTTTGGAAGGAGATTGCCAGACCTTTCTTCCAAGTGTGTCTTAGGCTAGAAACTGCTGAAACCTGTCCACCCTGAGTGACCCTGCTGGGGGGTAGCTTCCAGAAACTTAGCAACATGCTAGATGCCACACTACGACAAACTGACACACGAGTGGTGATCTCTTTACATAGAAAAGGGTTTTTAAAACTCAGCACCGATGACATTTTGGGCTGAATAATTCTTTGTCCTAGGGACTGGCCTGTACATTGTAGGATGTATAGCAGCATCCCTGACCTCCCAGTCATGACAACCAAAAATATCTTCAACCATTGACCAATGTTAGGGCAAAACTGACCTTGGTTGAGAAGTACTGATGTAGACCATCAAGCCCCTGGTAGCCCCTCAATCAATATTAAGGGACTTCATGAATCTCACAAGTCAGAAGAGGAAATGAGGGCTCCTGTGGACTTGCCTGGCTGGGAATGGTTGACTTCCTGTCAGTAAAGTCTCCATTGAGCAGTGATGGTGGTGTGTTGTGGAGTCGATTCCAACTCATAGAGACCCTGTGCAAGGTTTCCGAGGCTATAAATCTTTACAGGAGCAGAAAGCCTCATCTTTCTCCCCAAAAACAGCTGGTAGTTTTGAACTGCTGACCTTGAGGTTCACAGCCTAATTTCTAACCACTATGCTACCAGAGCTCCTTCTCCATTGAGTAGGTCTTCCCCTCCCCTCAGTAGGTGTAGACACCGCTGCTTTTATTTAACCCATTCTCTGCTCCTGTGCTGTAGCACTTCTGAAACAGCTATAGTGACAGACTAGAAAGACAGGAGTAATTCCTTCTCACACCATGTAACTCTGGGTTTCTACACATTAACAACAAGACACAAACCAGCCGGACACTCCTTTTTTTTAATTGTCAGAAAGAAGCATTTGGCTTTTGAGTGAATTTTAACCTTCCCCTGAGAGTTCTCATTCTCCCAGTTTCATGAGAAAACCTAGCCCTGGGAGCATCAATCTTTCCAGCAGTTCAAGGGGTTTTCTAAGCTCACCCTCTCACGCCTGGGTTCTGTCCACAAGTTTCTTGAAGAAAATTTCCAGCTGTATTCTAGTTTTGATGTACGTGCTAAAAGAGTTTTGAAAGTTGATGTTTCAAAGCTCATGAGTCTTGGAAGACAATCTGAATCATTCTTGAGAGCTGATATCAGCAAACTTTTTCTGTAAAGATGAAGACAATGAATATTTTAGACTTTGCAGGCCTATGGGACTCTTATTTGTACTCAACTCAAAATTGTAGCGAGGAAGCAGTCACAGACATTAGGTACATAAATGAGCCTGGCCATGTTCTAGTAAACCCTTATTTATAAAAGCAGCTTGTGGGCTGGGCTTAGTCCATGGAGTGTGCAAAATTCTGCTTTAGAGCCTCTCTAAACCAGAGTCGTGATGTGACGCCACAGAATAAGCACTTAACCTCAAGGTCGGGTTGAACCACAAAGTCAGAGGTTCAAACTCACCAGCTGCTCCTCGGAAACCAGACATGGTCACTATGAATCAGAACAGCCTCGAAGGCACTTGACAACAACAGTGATCCCAATGAGTAGGAAAAGCATTCTGCTCTTTTTTTCACCAGTAAAAAGTACAGTCTAATCCCCAATATATTGAAAGACTTCTGTCTGGTGTCTCCAAAAAGTAGTTCAAATCCCAGTGACCTTTTTGTCTTCGTGATCATATGTTCTAGCAAAACTCTATGTTTGCTTTCAAAAGAATGGATGCTTCATGCTCTGTATCTCTTTTCCGGAGCTTGTTCTCACTTGTCTCTCTCTCTTCCCACAGGAAAATATGCAAGTCCTGCAAATGCAGCCAAGAGGACCACTGCTTAAATTCAGACCTGGAAGATGACCGGAAAATTGGCCGTTTGCTGATGGACTCCAAGTATTCCACCTTGACGGCCCGAGTGAAAGGTGGGGATGGCATCCGGATCTACAAGAGGAACCGAATGATCATGACCAACCCTATTGCCACTGGGAAAGACCCCACCTTTGACACCATCACCTATGAGTGGGCTCCCCCAGGAGTCACCCAGAAACTGGTAAGACAGATCCACCCAATCAAGGGGTTTTCTCCTGTCCTTATAAATATTAGTTACACCATGGGTTTCTGAATTCTGAAGATGACACAGGGAGAGGGTTGTTGTTGTTGAGTGATGTCAAGTCGGTTCTGACCCATAACAACCATGTATAGGGTTTCTGAGGAGCAGCTGGTGAGCTTGAACTGCTGACATTGCATTTGAAATGACTTTGCAGTCCAGCGCATGAGTCCACAGCACCACAATATGGTAACAAAATTGGTAGGAGTAGCTGTGGTTTGGATGCTGTTCCTGCCATACTTTGTAATCTTGAAGTGACGACTACCTAAGCATCAGTCTTCCCCGTCAATGAAACGTGTAGGAGAGTTCCTATGAACTGTAAGGGCCCTTCTAGTATTAGCACAAGGTCATTTATGGCTCCCTTTAGACTCCTCACATCTGAACAGGGCATGGTTTATAGTTCAGATTTCTCAGAGTGCTTTTTTCTGCCTGTGAACAGTTCATTTCCCCTCAGTGTGGCCTAGGTGTGCCCCGTGCAGATCTATAGAAGAGCAGAGAAACAGGCGTCCCTTCTCCCAAAGAGCTGAAGTCTCCTGTCATTTCTCCTAAACATGGCCTGAATTGTGCCTTTGGCAAGTCTGTACGAGAATGGAGAAATAGCCCTTTCTCCTCCCAAAGAGCTGAAATCTCCTGGGCTCAGCTGGGAAATCCAAATAGTTTATTGCATCCCTGGGGAAAAGGCAACCAGAGAAGCCTTGGAGAAATAGCTTGAGAGGCCCTCAGGAGAACAGAAAAACTCAACGAGAGCAAGAGATTCCTAAAGAATGATACGCTAGAGGCAGATGCTGGCATTAAAACCTGTCCCCATTGTCAACTGGTGCTGAGTGACTGCTTAGCACATTATTTCCAGTTACCCTTCATCGTCTAAACAGCAGTGCATACAGCCAAATCTCTATACCCGGCTGAGGACAGAAACTCCCTAAGGGTGGAACCAACAGCTACCTTTCCCTTCTCTACCCTCTGTCCTAGCCAGTGGGGATTAAGATCACCGGGAGTCCTGTGCTGCCCAAGGGGTATAGAACATCTTCTCTGCCCACAGCAAGACAAGGCCCTATCACTGGTTGTTTATGAGTCAGAGACTCTCAGTTGGAATGCCCCTCTCTGCCTCTGAGAGTATGCAGGTTGTTGGATAACCTGTAGCAGCACTAGCAAGGAAGCTGCTGTGTGGGTGGGGGTGTACAGTCCTGAGGTTGGGTACAGAGGACCCACTTCAGCAGGAGCTGGGGGAATGGCTACAGATCCAGTTGTCTTCAGCTCATCCCCAGGAAGAGTAGAAGAAACACCACGTAAACCTTGGGATGAGGGGGCATGGTTCAAACTTGAACACTTTGAGTAGATTTCTGTCTTGGGTAACTATGCCCAGGTGTCCTGGTGTACCAGAGTACTTATACCTGGTGTCCCAGAGTATTTACACCTGGTGTCCCAGAGCATTTACACCTGGTGTCCCAGAGCACTTCTCAGTAGTTCCATCTCAAGTCTCCATTTCACTCTCAACGTATTCCTGCTTGAACAATGTGTCCACCATGCCTAGGGCAGTAGCACAAAGTCTTGTACCATTTTGGCCCATCAGTATCATCTAGTCATGACCTTTATAAAGGAGAGACCAGAGTGATCCCTCCCTTCGCTTTCGTTTGCTACATTCACCACCCCAACTGGTTGAGTCAAGTTAAACCTCCTTAGAGTGACATTCAAAGTCCTTCATGGCCAACTTCCTTAGAGTAACATTCAAAATCCTTCATGGTCAGATATACAATACTGCCATTCCATTCAACCATTTCTCACCAGCCCTAGGCTTCTTGTAGCCTGTCTGCCTCAAGCCTGAAATGCCCCACCTCTTTAGCCCATGCCTGTTCAGTTTCCAATCCCACATGACCAGTTTCCCATCTGTGGAATTTTACCCCAGATCCTTCAGGCCAAGGAAATTGGTTTGTCTCTAAATCTGCCTGTCACTCACCCTATTCTTGTAGTTCTCTAGCCTCTCTGCTGTTAGCCTATGGAAGGTGACCCTGCATCACATGAATTGCCCTTCCAGCTACTTGTGACCATCAGAGCCTAGGGAGCACCCTGAATGTAAGACACAGGCAGTGCCTTGCCAAGCTTTCAAGCTGCTTGATGAAATGGTAACTGAGCTAAAAGAACCTTTTGGGTTCCTTCTGCCAGGCTTGAGTAGCTCAAAGAGAAACATGAGCAGGGAACAGACAGTGAGTGCCTGCTAACATATGCAGAGAGGTTCCTGAGTCGATTGGTCTGTGTCCACATTAGTAGGTTTCGCCCTAGCTGTCCACTGGATCCTCTGGGAAGACTTACACAGTTCCCGTACCTAGGTCTCACCCCAGACCATTAAGTCAGAATCAACCGATGTGAGCAGATGCTACATGCAACCCCATTCAAGAACCATCAGACTAGATGTGAGGTCCCTCAAATTTAACTGTGTTTATCAATGATCTGGGCATCTCCAGTAGGTTTAGGGCAGGTCTGTAATTCTGCATTTCTATAAGCTTCCAGGTGTTATTGACACTACAAATTCATGAGAATAACAGGGGTTCTACAAATTTTGAGAGGCAAGGCTGTCATGTGATTACATGTTTTACCCGAGGAAAAGGAGCACCTGCATAGTCTGACTCCCCCCAACTTCTCCCCCAGGGCTCCCGCAACAGCTCCTCACTCAGTACCTCTCAGCTCATTGGTCTTCTTCCTTGCAGTTCTGGAATACACCAAGCTCTTGCCTTGCTCAAGGACTTGTTCTTCCAGTTTCTTCTGCAGGATACGCCCATTCCCTCTTCTTTCCCTGTGCCCTTCTGACATCCAAGTCTCACATCCAGGCCTCCACTAATCCAACCTATAGCAGATGCCATGCCTCCTCCTACCACATTGGTTCCCTCAGTTGTTTCTCACAACTATAATGATGTCATATCTCTTTACTTCGTTCTCATTACTCTCCCACATGGCAGTGAAGCAAGTGGTTTGTAGGTCACAGTGTTCCCAGCACCCAGCACTGATCATGGACCATAGTAGACTTACTTGTTCAATATTTGTGTAGACCAGAGCTTCAAACAATTCACAGAAAAACTCCATTATGTTTTCATCCCATTTTTCCACAAACTCTTTGAAGCCTCCTTGTCTAACCATCCAGGCCACTCCCACAAAATCTTTGTTACTGGTCCACAGTCAGAAGTTGTGAATAAATGCTGAGACAACTGTGTAGCAGTTTGACATCCAAGTGTGTGCTCAGAGAACTCCTCTCCTGAGAAGGCTCCAATTGCAATCAGTCACGTGGAAATCACACGTGGCCTGAAAGTCATTCTCACCACCTGCAGTAAGACCACAAATCTTCCTGCAATCAATAGGAAACCAAACATGACCCTTCACCAGAGAGACGCTGAGAAGGCCAGCTCCAACCAGCCACTAGAGAAAGAAAAAAATCTCCTTCTAGATAAAATGAGAGGCAAGGATTTTTTATTCTACTTTTTGGAAACCATACAGCACATTTTGAAAGAACACTTCGACATTCAAGAGCTCAGCCATTCTGTGAGGTGGGAATCGCTGTGATAAGGAAACAGAATGGTTCAGTGGTCTATGCTAGTTCCTGGGGTTGGCAGAGCACATCCGGGTAACAGGGGTGGTCCACAACAACAGCATAGTGTGGTATGCCTAGTGTGTTAAAGCATCAGGGTCTCCAAGATGTCTGCTTGGAGTGCAAGCAAGCAGCTCATAAGCAAGCTAAGTGCAGGCATCAGGAGCTTGGTGGTGAAAACCCCAAATACGTCAGCCCCAGACTTATCAGGGAAAGGCATCTTTGGGTGATGATGAATGCTTGCTCATAAAACCACTGGCTGAAAGAGCCCTACTGTCTGCCTCCAGCTGGGTTGTAAGGGCAGGTCACATAGCTGGGACCTGACCACTCTCTCTCTACCCACTCACCCCCTCAACTTTTTTTTTTTTTTTTTTAATTGCTAAGTGATCAGAACAGAGTGGTTAATATTTGGGGAAGACAGCTGAATCTTGCAATCTGTCATTCTTCCCAACCAATATGAAGACCAGAGACATGTGTCAGCCTTTAAACACTGATAAGAGTCCCTAGGTGGTACAAACAGTTAAACATTCAGCTGCTAAGCAAAGGGTTGGAAGTTCAAGTCTGCCCAGAGGAGGTGCCTCGGAATAAAGGTTTGGCAATTTACTTCTACAAAGTCAGCCATGAGAACGCTGTGGCACACATGTGGTGGCCTGGGGTGGTGGACAGAGCCCTGGGTGTCAGCAAATCCAGGTTCAAGGTCCATTTCTGTGTAAGGCTGAGAAAGTACCTGACCTCTCGGGTCCTCAGATTCATCATCTGCAACATTCAGGTGACTGCATGATCATTAGGTCACAATTATCATGAGAAGCCCACGACCACCTCACTTGATACTCATGACCACTGATTGAGAGACGAAGAGAAGCATCATTAACCCAATGTCATAGTCCAGGGAAGGCACTAAAAGAGGGAGGTGGATTCCAATTGGCCAAAGATACCAACATCCTTCACCTACCACAGGGATAATGGGAAGCCACACGAGGGAATCATTACTGACTAACTGTCCGGGAAGGGAGTATTTCTGACTGGGTCTCAGGAAGATTAGAGCTACTGGGAGTTGTTCTGTTGGTGAGTGTGAAAATGCAGGTGGCTTCTCGGTGTGGCACTGTGGGTTGGTTAGTACACTGGACTGCAAGGTCAGCAGTTCAAACTCACCAGCTGCTCCTTGGAAACCCTATACTGAGTCGCTGTGAGTCAGAACTGACTCAACGGCACTTGACAACAACAACATAGGAGTCCTGGTGGTGCTGTGGCTAAAGCACTTGGCTGCTAATGGAAAGGTTGGTGGCTCAAACCTACCCATGGCTCTGCAGGAAAAAAGACCCGTTGATGTGCTTGTGTGAAGATTACAGCCTAATACTACAGTCCATGAAGACAAGGTTCGGCATGCTGCAGACAGCCACTGCCGGCTGAGGCGATGTGTGAGATGCAGCCTATTTACTGACCTCGGCTGACAGCTGGCTAAGAATCCAGAAAAACAGAATGGGGTTGTGTCTTCTGATTCCAGAGTCATGTGCATTCTACTGCCCAGACCAAGCTGTGAAAACACCTTTCTCTTCCACTTTCCTCTCTGCACCTTGGGTGCTAGATTCTGGGAACCTCTCCACTCAAGACATTGCAGCCAGACAAAAAAGCAGCAACAACTCAGGGATGTCCTCATGAAAAATGTATGGCCTCTGCAGATCAGCTGGCCTGAGAAAAGGGTCTTGGCTAAAGGTTTGGGGAACATGACTGTCAGCAGGAATGTCGAGATACCTGAGGGTTCTCTGGCAGACTCAGAGCTGCCAGGCAGCTGACTCAGACCCAGTCCTCTCTCCATCACCCCTCCCCAAGTCAATGCCGGCCAGCAGTGATCATCTGAAGTCCTGTGTTGAGAGGGATTCTGAGACCCTCATCAGGGCTCCAAGGGGAAAGAATGTGATGATTGACTGGTCATGTCTGCCAGGGTTAGGTGTATTAAGAGTGGTGGCTGAATCTCCGGCCAGCCAGGCAAAGGCACACATCTGGATGCTGTGCCAGACAGGTGTCACCAAGCACTTCGTGGGAGAAAGATGTGGCAGTCTGTTTGCATAAAGATCACAGCCCCAGAAACCCTAGGGAGCAGTTTTCCCTTGTCCTGAAGGGTCACTAAGAATAAGAATCAACTCAATGGCAACAAATTTTCAATAGGTTTAAGCATTCATTTAGCTCTTGGCTGTTACCAAAATTCACATTTCTTTCCTGAGAATTGTTACTTTGTAAAAGTCTGAAAAAGCTGAAAATTGTTCACCAGCCTTGATGAGCTTTATGGGGCTGTGACCTTTATGGAAGCAGACTCTGTATAAGGTTTCCAAGGAGCAACTGGTGAGCTTGAAATGTCAACCTTGCAGTCCAGTGTATTTACCCACGTGCCACACCAGGTATTGTTGTTGCTATTAAGTGCCGTCAAGTCGGTTCTGACCCATAGTGACCCTCAATAGGGCTTCCGAGGCTGTAAATCTTTATGGGAGCAGAAAGTCTCATCTTTCTCCCGCAGAGCAGCTGATAGTTTTGAACTGCTGACCTTGTGGTTCGCAGCCCGATTCATAACCACTACGCTACCAGAGCTCCTACACCAGGCATAGGGAATGCCAAATCTTATGGTACTTGTAAGTACAGGGATGCTTGCTTCCAGAGAAGGCTCTCTATGATGACAGGCAAATTTGCTAGTGAGGAGACATCCCACATGAGGTCAGCTAGTTTGCATTACTTCTGTCATTATCTTAAAAGACTTATACAGTGGCCTCTCCATCCAGCAAATGATACCAGAGAAGTGGTTTCAAAGTAGCAACTCTCCTTTGGTAAAAGAGGCAAACATGCCCAATAGTAACTACTGCCAGAGAATAAACTAAAATGATCATGACTTCAAATTCTTATGGAAACTGTAGCCTAGCCCACAAGTAAAGAACTATAAACTCCTTTGACAGTTGAAATTCATTGAGGAGCACCACAGAAGAAGGTCCTGGTGATCTATTTCTGTAAAGATTACCATCAAGAAACCGACTCCAGTGGATTTTTGTGTTGGCTTTTTCCACCTCTCAATGCCATCCAGAAATGGAATCCACTGGTCAAGGAATCTTTCTAAATGGGACACTCCCCCATATGCATTCATATAGCCACACACACACAAATGGAAAACCATCCAACATGTTTTAATAAATATAACTGGAAAAGGTCTTAAAGGTTGAACATAAAATTTTTCAGCAACCTGTAACTATTGACCAATGAGGCATGATTTTTTTTAAAAATATCTTTTTAAAATAGCTATATGAGGGGGCTTCAAAAAGTTCTAAAGAAAAATTCCATTATCTTTCAATTCCATCTTTCTACAAACGTTGTGAAGCCCCGCCATGTACATAAAGTCCATGAATCTTGAATACGCACCTTGAGGAATGTTTGTATATGCACATGTCCTTAAAACTCCCACCAAGATCAAGATAAAGAACATTCCCAACACAGACCACAAGATAAACACTACATATATTTTACTCTTTCTCTAATCTGTAGTTTCTTAGTTGAGACATTGGCATGCATTACTTTTGTAATTAAAAACAAAAGGTTACTTTAAGTCAAATATAAAACTATGTATCTTAAATGTGGTTGGTAGTATTAGGAAATCCAGTAATGGATTCCCTATGCTTCCTGTTTGTGTTTCAGCCTCACTCAACAGATTAAGTCCAGAGAGGAATGGAGCCAGACCCACCTCACACTTTCTCCTCCTCTTTCTCTTCAGGGCCTCCAGTACATGGAACTCATCCCGAAGGAGAGGCAGCCAGTGACAGGCACCGAGGGCGCCTATTACCGGCGACACCAGCTCATGCATCAGCTGCCCATCTATGACCAGGACCCATCCCGCTGCCGCGGACTTTTGGAGAATGAGCTGAAACTGATGGAAGAATTTGTGAAGCAATATAAGAGCGATGCCCTGGGTGTGGGAGAGGTAGCCCTCCCGGGGCAGGGCGGTTTGCCCAAGGAGGAAGGGAAGCAACAGGATAAGCCAGAAGGTGCAGAGACTACTGCCCCGACCACCAACGGCAGCATCGGGGATCCCTCCAAAGATACAGAATATGTAAGTCTCTCCCAGACCTCTGGGTCTGGCTGAAGTGGTCCAGGAGCAGGCATGCAAGGTCTAGGCCCCTTCACATAACTTGGCTCCTGCATTCATGCATTTTGCAGTTGGGAGATATTTGTATCTCCCTTGTTTTGTGTTAGGCAGTGCCCCATGGAAAATAATACCAGGTCCATTGGCCTTGCAGAGGCTCACACCCAGTGAAATATACAGACATCCACATCAGAAAGGCACCTAGCATTGTTTACAGAATCAGGGCAGGCTTCCAGAAGGAGATGAGACACAAGCTGGACTCTGAGGAATGACTAGGACAGTCCCAGGCTTTAAGAGGAAGGTGTGTGTCCCCCAAACACGATGAGTGTGTTCAAAACAAAAAACCCCTAAGGTGGAGAGAGTGTGGTGCAGTCAGAGGACTCACAGAAGCCATGTAGCACTATAAGTGCCTTGCACTGGGGAGAGTTGGGGACATAAGGCTATGCAAGTCACTAGGGGTGAGTGTCATCAGCCAAAATGCGGTTCACTTGTGATACATGCAAAGCACCAGGAAATCAAACAAGCAAAACACACTGCCCTCAGAACCAACAAGGGCATGAATTTAGGACTCCATCCTAGCGGCCCAGGACAGCTATGGCAAGGTTTTGGTCCCAGGTCTCATCTGATTCGAGCTGGGCTTACAAGAGTTCCCTCAGTGAGAGATGCACTGCTAGGAGTTGAACTTTCAAGGGAGGCTGTTTTGAGAAAGCATAGGAAAAGTCAGCCTTTAGGAGATGAAAGCCTTGCAGGTTGGTTTCTCTTAAGATATACCATAAACAAAAAAACCAAATCTGCTGTGTTGAGTCAATTCGGACCCATGTTGACCCCATGTAATACAAAGGAGAATACTGCACTGAGAACCACAAGGTTGATGAATCAAATCCACCAGGGCTTCCTATACAGGGTCATTATGAGTCAGAATTGACTCAACACTTACAGCAACAATCTTCATGGAAGCAGATCGTCAAGACTTTCTTCTGCTGTATAGCTGGATTGGTTTGAACCACCAACCTTTAGTAGTCAGCCTTCATCTACACCACAGGAGGCAAAAGGAACCACAGAGGGCTGGTGTCATTACATGTCATAGTCCCCGACCTTATTTCTATCTTTTCTACCTGAAACTCTAAAACAAAAGAACAAAGTATATTTTTTCTGCCTTCAACTTAGCAATGATGTTTAAAACAGACATTTCTCACGAAGAATGATTGTTCTCAAGATTGCAAAATAAAATCAGATAGTTAGCATTTTTATAGGCTGGTCTCCTCTCCTGACCCTACCCTATATTGAGACAAGCCAAATAGCTGTCTGTTCTTAAAGCCTGGGTAACTTCAAGTTGAAAGGAGGCCTCTCTAAGTCAGTGTGACATTTCTAAACGCTCCTGTTTTCACTGCCAATCCCAAGAACAGATATGCCGATCTGAGTACGTACTGCATACTAAACAAGGGGTCCTACTGGTGCATTTGTGAGTGCTTGGCAACTAACTTGAAAGGTTAGAGGATCAAACCCACAGAACAATGCAGCAGTCTACTACTGTAAAGATTTGCTAAGTGCCTTAGAGTCGATTCTGACTCATAGCACTCCCATGTAAGGTTTTAAGAAGTGGTTGGTGAGTTCAAACTGCCGACCTTGCAGTTAGCAGTCCAGTGCTTATCCTATAGCACCACACCAGGATTTGGAAATCCTATGGGGAAGTTCTACTATACCTATAGGATCACTATGATTTGGAATTAAACTCCTCAGCAATATTTTGTGGCACTGAGGCAAAGACTCTCTTAGACCTTATTTACTGTGGCACTGAGGCAAAGACTCTCTTAGACCTTAGGTCCTTGCCACTGATCAACTTTAGGAAATATTTCAGTGTTTAAACAAGGACTAAAACAAAAACCTAACTTGTTGCCATGAAGTTGGTTCCGATTCATATTAACTCAATAGGACAGAGAAGAACTGCTCCATAGGGTTTCCAAGGCGGTCAGTCTTCTCAGCAGCAGACTGCCATAGCTTTTTCTGGTGGAGCAGAGGATGGGTAGTAGCTGCCCTTTCAGTTAGCAGCCCAGCACTTAGTCACTGCACCACCAGGGTTCTCTAAACAGCTATGGTGGTGGTGTTAAGTGTTGTCGAGTCGGTTCTGACTCATAGCAATCCTATATAAGGTTTCCAATGAGCAGCTGTTGGGTTAGAACCATGGACCGTTCAGTTAGCAGTCCATTGCTTATCTTATAGTACCACACCAGGAGTCTCTGAACAGTAGTTGTTGTTGTTAAGTGCCATCCAGTTGGTGTGACTCATAGCAATACCAAATGGTAAGTTCCCAGGTCAGACAGTAGGGCAGAGAACTTCAGGGGAAAACGGGAATGTGGGTTGGTTTAGGATGATTGGAGAAAGCAGACATCTCCTTCTTCACTCTAATCTCAATGTGATTTCATTGACAGATGATGTAGTGAGTGGTTTAGAATCTGGCCCCACTCAAGGTGTTGCTGTTGGCTGCCTCTGAGCCAGCTCCCTAATTCTGCCCCACCTGTTCCAAACTTCGTATTCACACTTTGACGGTTTTTGTCTAATTCACCCTTGCAGGGTGAGTTTTGCCAGCACCATTTTACAGGTGAGGAATTTGAAATTCAAAGCATTTAGGGAACTTTTTCAGTGTCCCGTAGTGTCTAAGGGACAGAGCTGGGATTCGAATTTAGGTTTGCTGACTCTAAATACAATGCTTTTTCTACTAGATGGTATTGCTTTATAGAAACCTGTTTGTTATTTTGGTGTAGTAAGAAGGAAGACAGTGTCTTGGTGTGGCACTGTAGGATACTGCGCTAGACCACAAGGTCAGTTTGAACTGCAAGGTCAGAGGTTCAAACCCACCAGCTACTCTTAGGAAGTCCCAGGGTCGCCGTGAATTGGAACCAACTCGATGGCACTTAACAACAACAAAAAAGGAGGAAGACTGGGTACTTTTTATGCAACTCTGTTTATCTCCTTGGAGCGGGGGAGTGAACAAAGAACTAGGTGGCCATGACTGGCTAGAGACCATGTGTCAATTTCAACCCTGCCATTACGGTGGACGTGGCTGTGTTCTCTGGACTGTTTTGCTAACTCTGTGAGCAGCCATCCTGTTTACTCGGTGTACCTCTTGCTTCTTATAAAAGGGCAGCATTGAACAACTGAGCCTTGTGTCTAGCAGGAAGTCTGAGTTTTGCTTCCCTGATGAAGGGCAATGAATTTTTTACAAGGGTTAGGATGTTGAACTTGAGAACCTAGGAATGTGAAACCATAATTCCTAACAGAAACTTATGAAAAAATGAGACCAAAAGAGAGACAGGTGAAAAATTATGCTAGGACAATATTGGCAGCACGTGAGTATTTAGCATTATTAAAAAGAACAACCTGATTGTCTTCAAGTCAGTTCTGATTCATGGCAATCCCAAGTGTTACAGAACAGAACTGCTCCTTAGAGTTGGCTTGGCAGGTTTTTTCAAACTTCATTTTGTTGTTGCTGTTAACATACACAGTAATATACACCAGTTAAACAGTTTCTACCTGTACCATTTATAGACACGGATGACTCTTTGTATTGTACAACCATTCACATTGTCCTTTCCTGGTTGTTCCTTCACCGTTACCATAATTTCATGTCCCTAAGGTTTCTATCTAATCTTTCTAGTTGCTCTTAGCAATTTGGTCCCATAAAAGTGCATAATGCTCAAATCAGACTTTGTTTTACTAGGAAAGCTAAAACTATTGTTTGGTTTTAAGAAGATTACAGGAGATAATTTTTGGTTCAAGGTTTAAAGGTTATCTCAGGGCAATATTTTCAAGGGTACACTCAGCCTCCATGGCTCTAGAAGTTTGGAGTTTCTGAGAATTTGAAATTAGTTTTTTTATCCTCCCCCTTTGATCAGGATTCTTCTATAGAATCTAGGTTCAAAATGTTCAGTAATGGTAGCTAAGTACCATTCAGCTCTTCAGGTCTCATGGCAAAGGAGACAACTAGTTGGGCATGGAAGCAATTAGCCACACATTCCACATCCTCTTCCTGTTCCTGACTCTCCTTCTTCCTCTGTTATGAAACCCTACTCTTAATGTAACATTTTGTTTCTATTCACCTGGAGCAACAGAGGAAGAGGGTCAGGAAGAGCAAGAGGATATGGACTGTGACCTCCATGAACAAAAGTTTTTAATATTTCTGAGGTCCCATTTATTTATTTTACCATTTGCTATTTATTTTATTATATTAGATAATTCATTGTTAAAATGTCAATGTGATAGCATTGTGCTGCTTTTTCATCTGAGAATTTTTATGATATTATTTTGAACCATCAGGTCCTTAATCTATTTTGATTTGTGTGTGTATGTAGTGTGAGGCATGGGTCCTATTTCAATTTTTCTGCCTACTGAAATCCAATTTTCCTAAGATTATTTATTGAAGAGATTCTTCTTTCCCCATCATAGGGACTTAGCACCCTTGTCAAAAATCAGTTGACCGTTTATATATGTCAGTTTGATTTTGGACTTCTAAAACAATTCCTGGTGTGGCGCTGTGGGTTAATGTGCTGGACTACAAGGTCAGTTTGAACCGCAAGATCAAACGGTTCAAGCTCACCAGCCACTCTTCAGAAACCCTATATGCAGTCACTATGAATGGAACCAACTCGATGGCAGTTAACAACAATAATACTATTCCATTAGTATATGTCTGTGTCTCTTGTTATACCAGAACTAGGCTGTTTTGATTACTATGGCTATATAGTATGTTTTCCACCTAAGAAAGATGAGGCTTTCTGCTCCCTCAAAGATGTATAAAGCCTTGGAAACCCTATACAAGGTCGCTGTCAGTCAGAAGTGACTCTCAGCACTTAACAACAACAATTGTTGTTAAGTGCAGTCGAGTCGGTTCCGACCCATAGCGACCCTGTATAGGGTTTCTGAGGAGTGACTGGTGAGTTTGAACCGCCGACCTGGCAGTTCAAACGGCT